TACAAGTCACATGGGTCTCTGTGATGGCACCTACTTCTCATGGAAGCTGTGTCCCCACCCGTGACTCACCTTGTGCACCTCCCACACCACCCCCCAGTGTGGTGCTGGGTGTCACCATACGGAGCCATGAGTCAGTCTCCCAGCTCTCCCTCTCCCTCTCCCTCTCCAGATTCAAAAAGAATCAAAAAGTAAAATTTCCAAAAGCAGAAGAAAAATAAAATGATAAAACAAAACGTAAAAGACAAAAAATGAAATAAATGACATAGTGAGCCATAGAAAAGAAAAAAATAAGTTAACTGAATTTCCAGATTAAAAAACAACAGTTGTCTCCTGTGTATTTTTAAAAATCTGGCCTTATCCTGTTTATAAGAATTGGTTAAAAATAAGGGCACAGAAAAGCTGAAAGAATAAAGATGATATATTGGACAAAATGGAAACCAAAAGAAATTTGATATAATTATACAAATCTTAGAAAAAAAGGATTTCAGAGTAAAAATATGTACCACAAAAGTTAGAATAGTAAATTTTGTGTGATACATGTTGTATTTGAAATTTCTGATTTCCTTTTGTTTTCATTTTTGGAAACAGGGTTTTGCCATATAGTCCAGCTTGACCTTGGCTTCCCTGTACAGTCCAGGCTGGCCTTTCACTTATGCTCTTCCTGCCTCCGCCTTCTGAGTGCTGATATTGTAGGTTTATGCCACCACATCTGGCTTCTAATTTCATTTTTGAGATTATAATAACTTTGGTGTCAAAAACTTAAGTCAGTATTTAAAAGAAAATAACAAATTTTATTGAGGATGTAGAGACATTGGAACCCCTGTAAACTGTTGGTAGATTATAACATGGAACATGGTGCAGACCGTATAATCCAGCATTTCTGTTTCTGGATAAATACTCAAAAGAATTGAAAGCAGAGTCTCAGAGAAGTATTTGTATACTCATGTTCCTAGCAGAACTATTTATTCACAGTTGCCTAGACCTGGAAGCAAACCAGGTATCCATCATTGGTGTTTATCGGGGCTGGGGTAGGAGACAAAGGGCTGTTGTTTAATGTGTACAATATATAACTTCAGTTCTGGAGATTGGTTGTGCATCAGTGTGAATGTGCTTAACACTGCTACATTGTACATTTTAAAACAAGTGAGATGATACATTTTGAGTTAGTTTATTTTGCCACAGTTAAAAATTATGCTAGGCCTGGTGGTATATATCTGTAATCCCAGCACTGTAGGAGACAGGAAGATTGATAGGTAGAGCTTAGCTTAAGCAATTTAGCTACTTAGTGAGACCTTTTCTCAAAAATTCAAAAAGAGCTGGCATGTAGGTGATTTGAAGACCCTGAGTTAAGCCCCTAGTTTGGTAGTCAATCAATCAATCAATCAATCAATTAGCAGGATTGCTGGCTACAAGACAATAAAATAGGAATATGAGAGAAGCATAGATTTTTTAAAAGAATTTAAATTATTTTAAATTTAAAATCTAAAACTTCCCTGAAAAGTAATAAAGAATGCTCAGACACATGGGGAAGTAAGCATATTCATGGAAAAGGATATTCAGAAGATATCAGTTTGCTGCAAAATTAGCTACCAGTTCTATTGGTTTTCATTGATATCCCAGCAGGGTAGCTGTTGGTAGTGGTGTGTGAGTGCACATGCGTGTGTGCATATGTGTGTGTGTGTGTGTGTGTTTGGTTTTTTGTGGTAAATGATAAACTCATTCTAAAATCTAGGTGAAAGTGCAAAAAAGCATCAAGAATCACAAAGACACTTTAAATAAGAATGTAAATTTGGGCATTTGCACTATGTGAAAAGAAGCTGTAGTACTCATTAAATCACTGTGGTATTGGTACAGGATAGAAATCAAATATCCTTCTAGTAGGAAGGAATGACTTATTGAGACAATTGATTGTCCATATAAGATAACATTTGATTCTTTCTTCATATCTATCAAAAATCAACCCTAAGCAGATTCAAATTTAAATAAGAAAAGAAAGGTAAGAATTGTGTAACATTAGATGACAATGTGGAAGAATGTCTTCATAACCTGAGGGAGGGAAAAATGATATCTTTAGACACAAAAAGCACAGTATATAAAGAAGATTACTGAATTGGTAATGCTGATATGTAAAGATAGTAGTGCTATTATTCAGAAGCGTAATAGACTGAGAAACAAGCCAAAAGGAGGAATTGTTTGTACAACATAACTCTCTTAGAGAAAGGCAACCCATGCAGCACTATCACAAAGATGGGAATAGGGGTTGGGAATTTAGCTCCGTGGTGCTGCCACCTGCCTTGTAAGTACAAGGTCCTGAGTTTGATCTCTGGTACCAAAAAAAAAAAAAAAGAATGGAATAGGCATTTCACAGGAGAAACACATGACCCATGAACATAGGAAGACTCAGTATTTTTAGTCATCAGAGAATCGTAAAACCACAGTAACATGGCAAATGTTTAAAATGTCTGGCAACAGCAAGGGTTGGCCAGAATGTGGTATTTCAGGAACTCTCTCACAGCTGATGTGAGTGGAAATTAGTGTAACCACTTTGTAAAACAGGTTGGACTACTTAGTAAATTTGAATGCGTATAACCATATGAATCAGTCATTTCGTCCTGATACATAGCCACCAAGAGACATGGAGTAGAATGTGTATGGTGTTTGGCAGCATTACGAATGATGGAAAAAATGGAAACAACCCAAATGTTCAACAGTGGAACAGATATCTAAATTATGAGTAATTAAGCAATGAAGTACCATCAAGTGATGAAAATGAATGAATTACAGTTACTGTATATGCATCTGCATAGATGAATTACAATAATGTTGAGTGAAAAGAGCAAGTTACAGAATAATATATATGTGTAAATATGTAGATTTTAAGTGTATTTAGTATATTATATATACATAATTGCTAAAATAATAAAACCAAGGAAATGATTAATACAAAATCTAGGACAGTGCTTACCAGGAGAGAAGAAGGTATGGTGAGTGGGTTTATATTGGGATAAGAGCCCACAAAGAAGCTGCATAGCATAGTGTTCATGTTCTCTTTCTTAGGCAGAACAGTGGGTAGATGGGTGCTATAGTTTTTATGCCTTTTATGACTCTTAAAACTGTTTGTGTAAAGCTGGTCGTGGTGGGACACACCTGTAATTCTAGCACTTGTAAGTATGAAGCAGGAAGATTGCCTTGAGTTTGAGGGTAACCTGGGCTACATAGTGAGTTCAAAGCAAAAACTGTGTGTACACATTTTATACCTTGCTTGGTATATTTTAAAAATATATATAACCCTTAGTATTTTTAAGAGATGGTGGAAATGTTTTGAAATTAGGTAAAATGGATTAGGGTGTTGAAAATTCAAAAAGATTGAAAGTGTTTGCTTAGAAGTGTGTAGAGAGCCTCACAAGTGCAAGGCCCTGAGTTCTATCCCCACTAAGTACAACAGCAGCAACAACAACAACAAAAATGAGTGTTTAGAGAATTAATTTTCTAAGTTAAAGCTTCTGTCTTAGATCATTTTTAGAGTCCAAATTAGGAGAAAATACAAAGACCTAAAAAAATATCACTAGCCCAGTAATTCAACTAAAGTGGAGTTCCTAGACCTGTACTGCTCTTCTTCCTTTCTTTACTTCCTTAAAAATTTAGTCAGTGGGCAAAAGGAAGTAGAGAGCCATTAGGCAAGAACTTCAAAATATCTGCCCTGTTGTTTAGCTTTGGGTTACACCTAGACTTTCCCCGGAATTTGGTGTGTTAAAGGGGACAGTGGAAGTTGATTTGGAGCCTAGATAGGAAGCACCTGAAGAAATTGGTATTATTCAGCCTTTATTATAAACACATACCAGTTAACTTTGCTTATATGGTCTTAAAGGCAAACAGAGTTTTCTTTATTTTGTGTTAAATATTATAGCAATTAGCATATAAAAGCCAAGTAGAGATGTGGTATTGATGAAGCACATAGCTGCAAACAAGTTAAAGTGGCACACTTGGTAATCGCTGCCGAATAGAATGAAATATTTAAACTCTATTTAGCCGCTAATGTCCTGCCAAAATCTCAGACTACAGAGTGTCATTTAAAGAGAATTGGGTGGACATCATCATCTACATAAAGAGCCTCCTCTGAACAGTTTTAAGAAGGCTGGAGGGATAGTTCCATAGCCCAGGTCCCTGGATTCTATCCCAGCAATACCCCTCAAAAAAGGTAAATAGGAGCTTTAAAAGTAATGTTCTACATAACTTACTTGTGTGGTTTTGTACACTTTCGTGCATTTTTACTAGGAAATCTTAGACTTAATAGTCTCGGGATTCGGTGTTTCTACCTTTCAAAGAAAATGTGTTAGTATGCCAGCTTGAATTTGGTATGTAGCCCAGGTTGGTCTCAAACTCACAATCCTCCTGCCTCAGCCCCCTAAGTGCTAGGATTATAGGTGTATGACATGATGCCCAGCTCACAAGTTCTTTTTGTATCTCTGATATGTCATAATTTAGAGTCATTGGTCTGGTCTTGACTTCCTGTGTGAGTGTTCTCATTTGTATCTGCCTACATACCCAGGCCCTTAGTACCAAATGTTCTGCCTTACATTTATTTAGGAATATTTTAACATCTGGGGATGTGGCTTAACTAATTTCTAACATCCACATGTCATATATTCAGCATTATCTTACCCATCAATATTGTAGCCCATCAAGAAGTTCTGACTTTGGGAATTAACTTTTAACATCCTACAAATGATCCAGAAGCATCAAAAGAAGGAATTCTTGCTATTTAGAAAGACAGTTAACATTAATGTGATACTGTGACTGTAGTACAGATGAAGAGACCACAAATGACCTGGGGATTGCCGTGAGTTCCTTCCTGCAAGGCCTGTTACTGTTGACTATACTGAAACTTGATTTGATTCTGAACAGATACTTTCTGTACTCACGTTACCAAGTTCTTTTGAAGTTCTGTATCATTCTTTTGAAGAGTTAATTTTATATCCTTATTTTCTACTTTGATACAGAAATCCCCTGCAAAGAAGCTGAGCCATGCAATTAGTAAGTCTTTAGGGTGCGTACCCTCCAGAGAACCTGCACATCCTGTTTTTCCTGAGCAACCAGAGAAACCACTTGACCTTGCACATATAGTGTAAGTATATGCCTGGATGTGGGCCATACTGAAATGTGGAACTCGCAGTATTTCAAATATTACATAACATCAACAGTGAACTTTCTAGCCTTTTCTTTTCAGTGGAGAACTCAAACTTCAAGCTCTCATTTCTTTATTGTACCATAAATATCTACATGGGAACCTAGGTCCAGTTCCTGACACTTGAGTAATGTAGCAGTCTCCAGAAATGTGAACACATGGAATGGTGATAACTGTACTGTTGAACTGGATTGCCTTTCATTGTGTGTTCTTCCCTTAAATCGGATCACTTCTTCTCCACAGTTCTAATGTCCGCAGACTTTTAAACTAGTTTACATGACATGGAAATGAAAATCAACTTAATTGTGCTTTGGGGTTTTTTTGTTTTGTTTTGTGTTGTTGTTGGTGGTGGTGGTGTACTGAGGATTGAACTTGGGACTTTGCACTTGCAAGGCAAGTGGCGGGGAACCTCTGAGCTAAATCTCGGCCCTTAATTGTTCTTTTAAGTTAAGAGAAAATTAGGAGAATAAAATTATTCTACAAATAAAGCTAGTCAGACACACACACACACACACACACACACAGACACTTGACTATTCATAATAAAGAAAAGCTAGAAGAGATCAAAAAGATAGAGAAAGGTAAGGATGAAAAAATCAATGAAGGATGGGGCTCGGCCTCTACACGGATTCTTCACTCTGAATGATGATGATGATGAGTTTACTCTACTGGATAGAGTTGGCAGATTGTTGCACCTTATTCTTCATCACATGTATAGAAGTTTTTTGTTGCAGTGAACACTCATTTTGCCTACCTGAGGACTGATTGTAGTTAGACTAAATGAGCTGTTGGGGATATCTGTCTTTTCTTTTTTTCCTTCAGAAATTCGAAAAACTTTTATAGTCATTAAAATAATACATGCATGTGGACTGAAAATCCAGTAGTACAGAAAACTTATCATAAATGCAACATAGCCTCTCATGCTTTAACTTCTTCTGGGTTTTAGGTCTACTTGGAGTTGCCTCCACATTGCTAAGTCATCTATGTATAGTGCTGTTTCCTGACTTAGCAAGTATTATTGAATTTCATTGTAGGTGCAAGGAATCAGCTTCACTTATAACTCTACATACCAACTCATCCCAACTTTTCATAATTGTATTTCCCTTTTAAGTGGGCTAGCTTTGTAATATTAAATAATCTTAAAACCAAATTTTTTCAACTTCTGCATAGACTGAGCAAATTAGTACCTTGTGTCTTATTTCTCCTTTTGCCTCCTACATTGTGTCATCTGTGCTATAACTTTCATATTGTCAATGCTGATAATTTTTCTATTCTATGACCATTTTGAAGTCTTCTGAAGTTAAGTTTTCAATCTAAAACTTGAAAACCAAATAGTAGCATTTACAGGTAATGTCACTCATTATCCAGTCAGTAGTGTGCTGCGATTCTGTGTCTCCTTTTGTGGAGCTCCAGTGTCCAGGTCTCTGTGCAGCTGCTGTCTCACCAAGAGCCCATCAGCTCTTCTTCCACTACATACCACTGATCACTCAGAATTACACGTGTTGGGGCTGGGTTGGGGCTTGGTGATAGAGCACATGCTTAGCATGCGTGAGGCACTAGGTTCCATCTCCAGGGCCCCCCCCCCACACACTCCATGATGAAATTTACCTATTCTTGTAATTCATTTTTGCTGTTACATTTTCCCTTTTTTGGTTAGTGTTTTTTTGGGGTTTTTTTGTTTGTGTGTGTGTTTGTGTTCTTTTATTTTTGATACTGGGGATTGAACTCAGGACCTTGTACCTGTGAGGCAGGCAGTGGAACCACTGAGCTAAATCTCTGGACCTATGTTAAATTTTTAAAAATTCTTGGCTGCTCTGATAGGCTTTCTTTCTCCCTTCTTCTTTCCATTCTTTTATCTTAACTTTTTTATATATTTTTCAGTTTATTTTTATTTTTATTTTTTGGTACCAGGGATTGAACTCAGATCCTTGTGCTTGCAAGGCAAGCGGCAGAACCACTGAGCTAAATCCCGGCCGGCCAGCCGGCCTGCCTGCCTGCCTGCCTGCCTTCCTTCCTTCCTTCCTTCCTTCCTTCCTTCCTTCCTTCTTTCCTTCCTTCTTTCCTTCCTTCCTTCCTTCCTTATTTCCTTCCTTCCTTCCTTCCTTTCTTTCTTCCTTCCTTCTCTTTTTTATGTCTTTAATTTATCTGGTATGAATTTTTTGGTGATATATCTGGTATGAATTGTTTTAGTGATTTTAATGTGATGAGAATGCCCATTTCTTTCCCCACCAACTCCCTTCTAACCCCTCATACTAACCTGTTTCAGACCCCTTTATTAGACAATCTGTCATTTCCTCACCCACTGATCTATTGTTAAAAATCCTATTGTTAAAAATGAGTTTTCCCAATATGAATGGCTGGTTTGTGCTCTTTATTCTGTTCATCAAATTATCCCTTACCAATATCAAACCATTTCAGTTATTATAAAGGATTAAGTAATCTTTTTTAGGTGTATTGTCTATGTCTTTCCTCTTTCATATAAACTTTAGAGTCAGCTTATTGACTTGAATCCCTTGTAAGATTTTGTTGAGTTTTTTTTAATTGGAAATTTATTGAATCTGAAAATAAAATTGGAGAGAATTGAAATCTTTACAATAGTTAATTTTCCTTTCCATGAACTGTTATGTCATCCCACTTATTCAAATATCTTTTTATGCCTTTAAGTAAAATTTTATCTGAGAAAGGTCTTGTATATATTAGATTAATTCTTATATAGTCTGCATTTGTTGTTGCTATTACAAATTGTGCCCCTTTTTTCCTACATTTTGAGGCATATTTTACATGCAGTATGCATCACCTTTAAGTGTATAATTCTGTGAATTTTGGTAAATGTATACTGTCATGCAAATAGATTCTTTTTTGACTGTTTCTTACAATTTGTTACTGGTGTGTAGAAATGCAAATACTTTTTGTATTATCCTACCTATTCATCTTGCTGAATTTGCTCATTCTAGTAATCTGTAGTCAAATTCTTTTGGATTTTTTATAGATAATTTTTTAGATAATTTCATCACCTACAAATAATGATATCCATAGTTATACTTTTTAAATTAATCATACTTTTTTGGATGGAAGAATCTTGCTGTGCAGGCTAGAGCCTCCTTTGCCATACAGAATAAAAGTGATGTAGTAGAGGCATTCTTGTGTTTTTGTTAATCCCAGAGAGAATACTCTTAGCATTTATTTAGTACTATTTGATTTGATTTTGTAGGTTGTATTAAGTTAAAAACATTCCTTTTTATTTCTAGTTTCTGGAAAGCACTTTCTGTCATGAGTAAACACTGAATTTTGTCAGACATTTTCTATATTGAGATGATTTATATGACTTATTCTACTAATGTAGTGAATTACATTAATTTGTATTGTTGGGTGGGGAATATTTGATGCTGGGGATCCAACTCAGGACCTCATACATACTAGGCAAGCACTATTCCACTGAGCTACATCCCCAGTCCTATTTTTAAAATTGCTCTTACATTTTTATAGTAAACCTAAGTTGACTTCTTTTTAATATACTGTTAGATTTTTAAAAAGATTTTTGGCTGTTTATAAGTGAATTTGGCCATTAGTATTTCTTGGTTTTTATTTTTTGTCTTACTTTGGTTTTGCATTTGCCACCCAATTTATTGACTTCAAAAAGTTAGGAGCCAGGGCCGGGGATTTAGCTAGTTCGATCCCCAGTACAAAAAAAAAAAAAACAAAAAAAGTTAGGAGCCAGGCCTGGTGACACACACCTGTATTCCCAGATATCTAGGAGGCTGAGGCAGGAGTATCATAAGTTCAAGTCCAGACTGGGCTACATTGTGACTTATTGAGACCCTATCTCAAATTTTATAAAAATAAAAAGTAAAAAAAGTGCTAGGGATGTCCCTTAGAGTGAAGTTGCTGGGTTCATCCTCAGTGTCCTTCCAATACACACATAAAATCTTGTATTTTTAGAGGAGTTTAAGAAAGATAGCAGTTATATTCACCTTTTTTTTGAGACAGGGTCTCACTACGTAGTTCAGACTGCCCCAGAACTCACCATGTAGCCCAGGTTGGTCTCCAATTCACAGTGATCCTCCTGCCTTAGCCTCCTGAGTTCTGGGATTACAGGCATCTGCCACTACACCCGGTTTACCCTAAATTTTTTTTTTTTTTTTTTTGTTTTTGGTTTTTTTAAATAGGTCTTCAATTTGTTTTTTTGAAACAGGTTCTCACTTTGTAGTTGAGACTGACCTAGAACTCACTATGTAGCCTAGGCTGGTCTCCAATTCACAGCGATCCTCCTGCCTCAGCCTCCTGAGTGCTAGGATTACATGTGTGTACCACCACGCCCAGCTCTTCAACCTAAATTTTTTGTTTGTTTGTTTTGTTTTTTGAGACAGGGTCTCACTATGTAGCTGAGACTGACCTGGAACTCACTATGTAGCCCAGGCTGGTCTCAAACTCACAGCAATTCTCCTGTCTCAGCCTCTGGAGTGCTGGGATTACAGGCGTGCGCCACCACGCCCGGCTTTACCCTAAATTTTTGGTGAAACTCAGCAATGAAGCCCTCTGTACCTAGAGTTTTCTTTTCTTTTCTTTTTTTTTGGTACTGGGGATTGAACTCAGGTCCTTGCGCTTGCAAGGCAGGCCACCGAACCGCTGAGCTAAATCCCCAGCCTAGAGTTTTCTTTTTGTGAGGATTTTTGGCAGTTGACATTTTAAAATAATTAGAAGACCGGTTTCTAACTTTTTTTTTTTAGTCACTTTGGAATGCTTTAGAATTGTACAAACATACCCATTTCATGTAAATTTTCAGTTGCTGGCACATGGGCTGGAGGTATAGCTCATTGGTAGAGCATTGCCTAGCAAACTTTGGATTTGATCCCTAGCACCTAAAAAAAATTATCTACACAAAGTTCGTAATTATTTGTTTTTATAATCTGTTATATGTGTGATAATGTCTCATGTTGCAA